TTTCCCCCTCGCAGTCGCCGCACTTTCTTTCTCTCTCTCTCTCTCTCTCTCTATCTCTCTCTCTGCCCTTTCGCGCGCGCGCTGCATGCGAGTGCGTTCACCCCGCGCGTGCATCTCCACCCGCGTGGTACGCTTCGACCGAAATGACGCATCGCACACGCGGCCACCGCGCACGCACGCACGCCCGCACGCACGCACGCACTCCCCCTCTAGCATTCGACGTCGCCCCGGTGATGACCGTTTACCCCTAGAGTTTCCAGCTTTCCGAACGCGAAAGCATTCGCACGCGACCGCGAAGGGGATTCCCTTTCTGTGAATGCGGAACATCAGCATCAGCGGATGTCCCGCGGACCATAAATATACCGACGAATCGACGTGACAAAGACTGAAGTGCGTCAGCGCGGAGAAACGTAATCTCGCGATACAGCGCGGCGTAATACGGCAAAGGGATGCGTCGCGTTCTCATTCGGATCCGAGAGAACTTAATAATTGAGAACAATACGGTAAATTCCTTCCTATTTCCGCGGAATAGGGCTGCTGACTTTCGGCCGGCGTTATTGCGCCGCATTGTACATGTGCGCGGGCAGAACGAGAATGCATGGCGGACACCCTCGTATCGTATAATGAGCAGCGTCGAGCAGCGTCGAGCAGCGTCGAGCAACGTCGAGCAGCACGTCCCATTCTCTCCTCTCCCATCTCTCTCTCTCTCTCTCGCTCGCTCTTTGCCGCTCGCTCGCCTTTACCAGCATACGCGGACCGTGAAAAGCGAAAAAGAGACAGCAGAGTGAGCGAGAGAGAGAGAGAGAGAGAGAGAGAGAGAGAGAGAAGTGGCGAGGCTGGTTGGTCCTTTATAAAGCGCGCTCAGCAATTACTATTGCGACAAGCGTAATGCGCGCCCCGATCCACCTCCACGCTGTTTAAATCACCGAGCGATGCTCAAAAGGCAAACGTACGAAGTGAAAGAGAAACGAGGAGAGAAAGAGAGAGAAAGAGAAACGGTAAACCTTTTAACGAAAGCAAAGAGAAGCGCTCCGCCCGATCGAACGCGATACGATTTATCGGGCCGCAGCGAAGCGAATGTGAACTCGATCGTTCGAGCTGCGAGCATAAAATAGAGTCGTTTACGCGAAATCTTTTCTCCTTATTTCGCACTTATCGGCGGAGCATCAATCCGCAGATAATTTGGCGCGATTCGCCTCGTTATTATTCGTCATTATCGGTGCATGCGTTTAATACAAATTTACAGGTAATAGAATCATTCCGAATAATAGACTGCTAACATGAAACTATTGATGATCATCATAGTTCAATTTGTAATATCGGAGAATTATCGGCGCATGAAAACAATCCGTAATCGCGTAATATATGATACCAATCATTATTAATAAATACATATTATTGCAATCAGATTGCACAGAGCGATTGTTAATGTCCTCTCACATTCCAGGAATGTCTGGAACCCAGCGATCATACGTTCCATTACGCGGGACCTAAATGAGAAATACAAGCGGTGAGAGTAAGGAACGTACGCGAAATTGCGTTAGCGGGAACGATGCCCCGGTGAGACCGTGCAAACGCCCGAACTTCCTTCGTTAACGTCGGGCAAATTGTCGTCGGGCCAGGCAGAAAAGAGTCAGGTAACTTCGCAAAAAGACACGGCGAATGAATAAGACAAACGGAGCGGCAAGGCGGCTGCGGAGAGATAGCGATGGTTGATTTAAACTACCGGTGCCGTACGGGTGGCGAATCAACAGTTTATTCGGCGCTCCGTTCTCGTCGCCGTTTGATCGTAACGTTTGCCGAAACTTCGCCGGAGATTGTTAAGGGAATAGAGAATGGCCGAGTTTCTCCGGAGCTGCTTCGCCAGAAAAGGGGGGGTGAGAAAGAGTACGGAAGGGCTGACCGTGTTTCTCGTCAACGAAACTAACATTCGGGCAAACGTGTTACGAACAGAAGTGACCAATTTATTAACAAATATATCATTTGTATGTTGCTTTCAACATGTCAATTCCAAAAACTCTTCGCTTGAAAAAGTTATTTTATCGCCGAAAGATAGATTTAGATTTACTTGTACGATTAAGTGTGGAATTATTTTTAAATTTCTAAGACTCAAAATTGTTCTCGCGCAACTTGCATTAAATAAAATATTCTTATTACGTCGTGTTTAATTAACGTCACTCCGTACTTCTGTTGCAATCGTATGCGCGCAAAGTGGGCAAATAGCCGTTCAGCTCGACAACGGCAACGACGGCCGCGAGACGCTTCTAAAAGCGAGTGCGTGCCAATTAGACAGACAACTCGTAAACGCGCACGGCCGTGTCATTCACTGACTTACCTGCGTCCTCGTTAAGCTCGCAGACGGGCTAATGATTCAACAGGTGTTGCGCGTCGGGACGAGCGAGTTCGGTAACGGCGCGGCGCTTTTTTGTTCGGGGCATTGAAAAGGACCGAGGAACCGTCGCCGATACGAAAACGGCCGCGGGTTCGGCGAATAGCCTGAATGGCTTCTGAATAGCTCAAGAGCGTCTCATAAACGCAGACAAATACGAGCTCTCCGAGACGCTCGTAAATTTTTGCCGCCTCGGAAAAGCACTCGGGATTAGACAGCGGCGGGCCTGCCGATAAGCGCTCCAAGCGTTTCGCTCAGAAACTGAAAATTTATCATTTCTCATCAATAAGTAACTGCGATTAACAAACGTTAAATAATCGAGCAACGTAAAACAGCAATATGAAAAAATTTAAATTTTATTTACGACACAACACGGGATGTGAGAATGAATGCAAAGAGTAATTTTGCCGTTTCTTCCGAGAAAATGAATAAATAAATATTATTTCGGAGTATGTTTTTACAGGAGTTTTCCCTGAAACTTTTATCTCCGGCACTTTACAATCTTTTCGTGTCAACTCCACACTCTCGTATTCACACTCACTTATTGTTTTCAGAGTTCGCTTTTATCTCGCGTTGCAAATAGAACGAAGACTCTTTACACGCAGCTGCGAAATAAATACGTAATAAGATGCGGCGGCAGATTAAAGCTGAAATGTGTCCGCGTACGCTCGCGGCACATAAAGTCGTCCTTTTTAATGCTCGCGTCCGCGCTCGGGATACGCAGGATAATTTAAATTCAATGTACCCACCGCTCGCTCGCAAATCGCGTCTGCCTTTCCGCATCCAAGTGCGAGCGTTGCCGCGGCACATAACTGATATATGGATTTGTCATTTATTTATTCAGAACCCAGCTCACTGTGCGTGTGCTCTTTCTCCATCTCTATCTAGAATTCACGCGGATGATTGTCGGCCGTGCGACATGACGTCATAAATAATACGCGAACGTTTTCCCGCGGTGCGATTTTAACAGATTTCGTTTAATTTCCATCGAGGTCAACAGCTATTGTTATCATGGCGCTGGGAATAGTTATAGCGCGATTAATCTGTGTATCGATTATGTAGAATAACGCGCGAGAACGACAAATGAAATTGCGACGTTACGTGACATTAATAACCGACGCTAATAAGCATTAACCGGCTGTAATGGGCTGAAAGAACGATGCTCATCGACGACAGATTTATGCATCGAATTTGAATTTCGATACTATATTACAAATGCGTTCCGACGGCGTGTAATTCAATGAAATTTTCGAGCTTTATTTCGTAGTTACTTATCGTCACCATTCGCTCATCATCCGCCGCGCGTACACACGCACGCTCGCGTGCACGAGCAAATAAATTGACGCGCGGAAAAGACTAGTCGCGAAGTTCGCGCGCAAATCCGACGGAGCATCTTTTGTTTGTTTATTTGCGAAAACTGCTCGCGCGCATCACGCCTCCGCCAAGTGTGTGTACGTGTGTACACTTGTAACCGCAGTATGTTTACTTTTCATCGCTCGCGTGACATTCAAAGTTCAACGCGGATTAAACACACTTTACCGCTCATCGCCGCGACCCAGGCAAGAAATTAAGCCCGCAAGTACTCGACGCCGTGAGCCGCGTAATGTCACGTGTAATATCGTAATTTTAACGTAGTATAACAATGCAGCACACTTCAAGCGGTAAATCTTTTCGTGATATTTGAAAATATATATTTCTCTATCCTAACGTGAACTTTTTTTAGACGCCCAGGAAATGCCAAGTCCAAAACCCTTTATGCTTTTACCGAGCTAAAGTAGAACATATGATGTTAAAATTAAACATATAATGATAATCAGAATCTAACAGCATTGAATTTTTTCCTTATTTTGAAGACCGGTGCTTTTTGTAAATACCTTAATCTTTTTGTAACAATAATAATTATCTTAAATTAAAACGCAATGCATACACTGCAAATTTCAGCGACTCTCTCATATATTTTCGTCACTGTCTTGAGCCGCGATACGAAGTTGAACTAACTCGAACATTGCGGCACACTAATCGCACGAAAGAGCGAATTATCAATGGAGCCCGCACGAAAGTGTGTTAAACGGTTGCGCAAAGTGCAAATCATGCAGCTCGCTCAGCCACGGAGCCGTTTCCGATCGCATTCAATCGGCAACAAGGTCATTGGCTCTCCGCGAGACAAGCGTAATTGCCGTAACCTATTGCGCACATGAGTTTTTAACACTGAACTCGAACTCGAACGCTTGACACCGCCGCGCGAGCGGCGAGCATTCGCTTTGTAAAACCTCAACGAGGCGCGATTTAACGTTCCGCCGCTAAACGGAAATTAATCGTCGTGTGTCGGTTATAACGCGACGGCACCGGGCAGAGTTATGCAAATAAGCTCGGTCGTGCTTTTAACGTATAACCGGAGCTAATCCGTCAAGTTAAACCAGACCGACGTCGTTAAACGAACGGCGGAGAAACACATTTAATACGACGCGAAGAGAAAAATATATATCGTTCCGGCGAGCCGCGCGATTTTTTAACGCAATCGCGCGCAGGCAATTTGTTTAACTTTGGCAATCAATACCGCCGTTTTCTATTGTTTATCGATCGTTTACGTAATTCAGTAGTGTTTACTCACGTATAAATTCCCATTCGTCGATCCTTATCCCCCAAGCTCTGCTTTCCGGGCGACGTGAAGGATCGTCCCGGTAATTGCCGGAGGGAAGTCCGTGTTTCCGCGTTTCCTTTCTCTCACGGGATTCCTCCGGGGGAGGAGATTTTGCCAGGCTGGAAATAAAGAACACGTATACTGGTTAGACGAGAGTTTTCACCCTGCGCACACTGCCGGGTAATCCGCGTGCTAACGGCAGGTCGTCGTTATCGCGATACTCCACCAAGCCAAGGCAAACTTCGCCGAGCGGAAACGTCATAAGATACGAGAAAATTGTTCGAGTGTTCTCTCGGATACACTAGCCGCTCGCTCGGTCGATCGAGGCCCTTTGCTCGGGTCTTTGTCGCAACTACGACACACGAAAGTACGAAGAAAAGCTCCGCGCGCTAAAGCTTATACAATATAAATACAAGTGAACGAAGAAAGCAAGAGAAAGAAAAAAAGATTTACACGAGATACGTTTTACAGTCATAATATCGCAGCGTTATAAATACAATTGTGCTTTCTCACAACAATTTTATATCTTTATTTCCACTCTATCTGATAACTTTATGCAATAAACATTTCGATTTGGCATTAAAATTTCATTGGCTCGTAAGTTTATATTTTTACAATTAGTTCCTCAATGCTTTAATTCTGCAATGCCGCCGATACGAGACGGTGGAGTCAACATAACACGCAGCGCATTCTTTCGTGTTATCGAAAGAAAGATACGCGAGAAGCGCTTGCGAGGCGCGCGGTCATTGATCACATCCTGGCCGAGACAGTAACGGACGATCGATTTATTGCGGAGTTACATCGCGCGACCGCGGGACAAAAAAAGAATTAGCTGAATCAATGCAGGACGGACTGTGGTCCGGCGTCCCTCTCTTCGTGAGAGAGTATGAAGCGATAAGGGGCTAATATAAGTGAAAATCCCGGTGTTAATATGTGGCGCGGAGCCGAGCAGGAGGAATGCTTAATGGCCGGCCAACACGCGATCCCTCCCGGCCTTTTTCCTTTATTTTCTCCTCTTTCTCCCGGTCTCCGCGTCCGCTTTGCGCTCCTCCTCCTTCTCCTCTCGTTTCACCCAGTTACCGTGATCCACCGCGTTCGAAATTCATGAGCATAGAAGATGAACAGTGAAAATAGCGAAATAAAAGTGCGCGGAATACCCTCGCAATATGCGAAACAAACATGCAGACCAGGCGCTTTTTAAACGCATTGATGCGCTTCGTACGCGTGAACGCACGAGGTGTTTCTCAATCAAAACCGGAATACCGTTTCAGGTATCCGATTACAATAAAAAATATATTAATTAATCCCTCTATTTATATCGAAGTTCTATTTGCATCGAACTCTTCTCTCTCCGAACTAGATTTCTCCTTCGAGCGAGAAAGAGGAAAAAACTTTCCGTCGGATTAATTGTCCAACGTTCAAAGTCAAAATTAATTAAAAGAAGGAAATTAAAGCGCGCGATGTATATCGTATATTTTGCATAATACACTTTTGATGCGCCTTGATTATTCGCCGTGCGCAAGTCTCACTCGCAAGGAGTCTCGGCTAGGAGTTTCGGAACAAAGTTGCGAACTGCTCTTCGCGCCTCTCTGCTAGTAGCTGGTTTATTGCGGGCTCTATTCCCGCGATCGACCGTGCGCCGGCCGGCGGGGACGGCCACGCCTCGATTTCATTCACAGCGGCAAACTCGCGCTCAATTATTCATGCGGAATCTACTCTCTCGCTGCGCCTGCCTCATCTCTCCTTCTCCTCTCCACGATTAGATTTAAGTCGCGGAAAACGGCGCGGCGCCGTACAATCGCGCGGAAATGAATATCTCGTCGAATAACATCGGATCGCAAATCGAACGTTTTGCATCTTCGACTTACAAAAAAGCAGGAAATTAATAAGCATTGATTTGATAGCGCAGCGAATACTTTGATATTTCTTTGCAAGCAAAAAAAAATATCTCATGTTTCTAATATCAATCTAATATCTGCATCAAACGAATATATGTGAATATATCATAAAAGACGAGAGTTGAAAAATAATCCTTTCAAGATTACTGAACGTCAAAAGATTAAACGATCGCAACAGATCGAATGCCTCGAAGATAATCACTACGAGTCCCTCTCCTTCCGCCTCTCCCTCTCTCTCTTTCTCTCTTCCTGAGAGAGGAAAGCCGAGCACGTCGTTGCGCCGACATCGTTTCACCGCCGCGAAACTGGGACGGGGTTTTACGGGCGGTTATTTACGATCGAGGTTATGAGAAAGGCGGGGGCCGCCTCCTCTACCCGCTCCTCTGCGAAATCTACGAAAGAGCCGCGCCGAATGCAAATTACTCGAATTACGTTACCTGCGACTCCGGTCGAATGGACGATAATCAACGTCGCTCGCGCCGAGCTCGCGCACTTTTATCGGCAACGCGTGTGCGTTTCGGATCGAAACGCGGCATAATTTATTATACAATCAGCTGAATTTCGCCGAGCGAAATTTGCCAACGTTTGTAGTTGCGAAAAGATCCGGACGAATCGGATCACGCGTCCGCCGCGAAAAATTGATGGCTAATGCAACCGCTGATCCGCGGTTACGCGACGGACGTCATCCGTACGATACGGCTCGGGGATATTGGAAACAAAATACATCGTTTGATTACCGCGTCGGCCAAATTGCTGGAAATGCCGGATCGGTTGACGGTATAGCGCGACGCAGCGCCGCAGCGTGTGTCCATCGGTCATGCATGCCAAATTTAGCAAATTTGAATCGCGAATACTGTCAGCCGTATAATGTACGTAACGTGCAGCGCAATAACCAGTTTGGAAATTCCATCGACAGCGGACGGCCGGTGCGCGCGCGGAGTGTCCAACAACTGTCAAATCAAAGTGTTGCGTGTATCGAAAAGATATGACTTTCGTCAGCGACAAATTTTAAATGGCGCTCTAAAGCGTTGCATCGTTATCGCATGCATCGTTATCGGGCGGAAATAAAGATTACTGATTACACACTCGTGATACGACGCGCGTCAATTCATAGAGGAAGGCGGTCAACCGTCTAGCGATTCCACGGTCGGGTCAGCGATCTCGTAATCTTCGAGGAGTCAAGGTCGCGATGAAAGTCCGCGGTGAGTGGTATTGTGTTCGATTGTCGTCCGCTTTTGAGCGTTTATTCCGACGGAAGTGACGAATGCCGAAAGCGACAGGGATCATCGGCAGGAAATTGATTCGGCAAAATCGCGCTGTCGCGTCGAGTTTGCGTGACGAATAATGATTATTTAGGACGAATTTATTGGAAGCGAAACGCATGTAACGCGCGCGCGCGCGCATCGATCGTATCCTGCAATTAAAGCATTATCGTTAATGCTATTATCATCTCAAGCTAATCGATGCGAAATCTGCGAAAGTACATCAACAATGAAAGATAATCCAGCATTAAGATCGCATTTAGACGAATCGATTTTCCTACAACAATAGCTGTCGAATGATAATTACGCTACAAATGACTCTTCGAACGAAATTTTCGAAGCGCGAGTGAACATCTATCGCGCGAATTGGACTCGTTGTGTATAAACAAATTAAATAATCACTAATTGAATCGTATGTATGTCCACAATAACGGTAATGCAACGTTGTATAATTATCGTGTTACCATTGTAATAGAACGCGATTACCCGCATAAACAATAATACCGTGCGCGGTGATAATCGCGCGCAAACCGCAAAAATCCGCCCGCGCCGGACGTGTTTTCCCGCTTGAGATCCGATTGTTTCGAGCACGCGAGAGAGAAGAGAATCCAGGCAGAGCCGGTCAAAAGAGCGCGAGGGAAACGCGGGAAGGGTGAAGAGAAAGAGCGCCGGCTGCTGTGTAATCCCCGAGGCCAGCGTTGCTTGGCGCGGTGCCAACGCCAGCATCCGCTCCACAAATGTCGCTAAATATACACCTAACCGCTTCTAAACAGAGAGCAAAGCTTGGCCGATAGCACGCGAATTGTACGATCGTGCGACTCGGCATGTCGCGAAAACCGACCGATGACGAGCACTCGATTGACCGGTTGATGTTTTGATGCACAATCCAATTTTTGATTTGTCTAATAGTGTTTACAGTGTTTACACGAATAACAGCTGTGTACCTTTATGCTAATCGGACGAATGCGGAGTGAAGTGAAATCGATAAATCAATATATCAATTTAAATGAAAGAAGAAACTAAATGTATGTATTTATTGGCGCTTCTATCTTAGGATTATTTCAACTCTAAGCAGAATAATCTAATACGAGTGAGATGTATGTAAATTTAAAAGATATTAAAATATCCGATAAGATGAGATAACGAAGAAAATATATATCATCGCAAATGACCGCGGTAAAATAACGAAAAATAATCGGTCATCGTTATCGTCGGCCGATACTCCAGCCGGCGACATCACCGGCACACACAATACACATACACACAAGCACGCGTCGGCCTGCTATTGATTCAAGACTCGCACAACGTGATTCCGGCTTGCGACGAGCCCCTTCTGTCGTATGAGTCAATTGAACCTTCCATACACCGGGACGGCTTCTGAGTAATATACCGAATATAACCGCACGAAGTGAACTTTACGGACGAGCGACTGGAAATGGACATAATTCAACTTAATAAGATTTAATCAAAAGAAGAAACGGGCTTGTTCAAGAAGTTTTTGTCTTTTGTTCCCGTCAAACCTTGGTGTCCGAGGCTCTTATTTTATTTTTATATAACTAAAAGCTGTGACAAGAATTTATTTGTAATTTATTTCACTCGCATAAGTTGCTAGTTTTCAAACTTAGAGAAATGAAGATCGCATCTCGAGATCTTGAAAGCCATAAAGATATTTATATATCGATGTATATATTTATATATTGACGCATACCAATGGAATTCTATCTGCATTCAACAGCAAATAGAGTCATTAATATCGGCTTTATCGCCGTGCAACAGACGTTGTAAAATGAGGCTCGTTCCGCGATTCGATCTTACAAAGCTGGCTCGCCGCGAAGTATTTAACAGCGAGACTTCAAAACTTAGTTTAACCGACACATTGTATGCAAACGGAAAGCGGACGTATGCGACAGACGGCGCAATAATTATCGATCAGATAAAACAAAAGCAATGTAAGCAGAT